AAATGGACTTTGCAAGTTGGCGAGCATATAATTTGGCCAAGAAATTTCTGGTATTCTAAGGGAATAGGCTATTTAATTAAGAAGAGCACAAAACAGACTGAAGGCAGCTTGCCACTGAACAAGCAAATCAGCATATTAACCAAGGGGGCCTGCTCTCTCTTTGAGGTACAGGCTAAAGGGTTAAGTAACTTAAAGGGTGTTGGTCTTGCTTGTATATGCCTCACACATGTCTTTCATTTGAAAATCAAGGGTCTCTTTCCAAATTAAAGGCAACTTAGGTTTCTTATAAAATTAATATGTGAACATGTGCCACAAGGCATAGCTGACACCTCTGTGATACTCTTCAAATTCTTCTGTGTTCTGACAGTGGTACTCAAAGCCGATTTATGGTGTTGCACGCTGCTTGGACAATGTGCTGCCAGAAGAACTTCAGTTAACTCGGAATGAATAGAGCCATGGCTCTAAGCATCCTGTCCACATCAACCAACAGAGCTGGCCTGTCAGAAGAAAGTAATGGTGGTTCTCCAGAGCCGCTGGAAGCATTGTGATTGCCTGCTGTACAATACTTCCATTAGTTCCACAAAGAGATTACTCTGTGACTGCTCTTTCTTCTCCAAATGTGGGACTGAGTTAGTATGTCATAATCTCTTTTAAAAGAATTTGCACTGAGCTACTATCTCTTTTTCCCTTGGCAAAATGGTGGTAAATTATATAATTCCAGTGGCAGGAATAACTAGAGTCTTAACTGGGAGCAGCTGTTCAGGCTGTGATCTTATAACGCAAGAAGATTGAAAAAGATGGGAAGAGAGGATAACGCAAAGATGTATATTTTGTAGAAGAAAGGCTTTGAAGTCTTATAGCTGTCACTGCCCTTACTTTTTCATCAATGTGTGTGTCAGGTTCATTATTCTTAACTCTGAAACTCAAACGCTGCTTCAGGTTATCTGATGCGAAGGCTGGGCAGATATTATACGGATTGCATCAGTGGCTTAACTTAGACCTTCCTATCTGAATAAGTGCTACATTTCATTGTCAGGGATTTGACTTGCACTCTGGACAGACTAGCCAGTGGTGGCACTTCATTGTGAGAGAGATTGCCATAGGCTAGTGGATTTGTCTACTGAATATGGTTTAGGGGGCTCCTAGAAGAGTTGGGAATTTGGGGGTGGGGCCCACTTCTGATATCTGGGGTAGAGAACCACACTGGGGATGTGTGTTGGCGAGGGGTGAGGCAAGCAACAGCTACAGTAACACTCACAGATCCCACTGCCACATTCAGATCTGGCCTGCAAGGAGCCCTGCATTCAGGATCCAGCACTCAAAGAACTCCGCTGTCTGGATCTTGCCAAGGGAGGGTGGGACAGGTGCACTTGACACTGCTGCTATAGGCTGTCCAGCAAGAAGACCATTCACAAAAGGAAAAGGAATGGACGGAAGCAGCCTTTGTATGGTACTTCACTATTATGGGGTGGGAGGGTAGGGGACGGGGAGACATTAATCTAGACAGTTCAGTAACCTTGGCAGGAGTGGAGCATTTTAGAATCAGAGAAATGGAAAGACAATGATTTAAACAGCAATATAAGGGCAAGAGAGCAGAGGTTGATACAACAAACAGATAGGAGAAGATATTTATGGCACATTATTCTGATCTTCATTCATACAGAAACAGAACTCATGCACTGCAGATCCCTGACAATCCAAGTGGAGCTGCTTTTCTTCTACCATTCTTCCAAGAACTATGCTTGCCCCTGGAAGTGATATTACAGTTACTTATTGCTCTAATGGCATGCACCCAATAACAAGGAGGTTTACTTGGAGAGGAGGAGTTACTGCTGCGTGCGAGTATCATCAGTAGTTCCAGGTCTTTTGCCCAAGCCTTGGGCTCCACAGGGGAGCCAGATGTGCAAAGCAGTAATTCTTTGTGTGTCCCTTTTGTTTCTAATTCTTGTGCTAATGAATCTGTCAGAATGATAGTGGTTTGTGGAATAGTCTAATATTGTTGTGTTTACAAGTTCTGAAGTTACCTTTACAATACTATTTCACAGCCTACTCATCACCGTGCCCCATGGGATGGTATCTGGACCCAACTAACATTGCTTTGACCTTGTCATCACTGCCTTGTCATCAGCATACCTTGTCATCACTGCCTAAATTATCCCAGTACCAAAGTTTGGAAGAAATACTTGAACTAAAACATGTATTTGATTTGTTGCACACAATCTTAAGGGTATTAAAGCTTACCACTGTTAAAATGTTATCTGTTACTTGACATTTTAAACCCAGCTTCAAAAAATACTCTCTTATATCAGTAATATATTAAAATTAATTATGTCCTTAGTCATAATCTCCTATCCAGTGTATTAGCAGATGTGTGCTTTCTGATTGGCTCAGTTATTGGATAATTCAATTGCTGATTATAAAAGTAAGAATGACCAAATATTGCCCTGAGAATGAATCACGGATGAAATAATTCACAGAATCATAGAAAATTAGAGCTGAAAAGGACCTCAGGAGTTCATCTTGTCCAGCCTTCTGCTCAAAGCTGGACCATCCCCAACTAGAACATTATAGCCAGGGCTTTGTCAAGCCAGGACTCAAAAACCTTCAAGGATGGAGATTCCACCATTTCTCTAGGTAACCCGTTCCAGTAGTTCACCACCATCCTAGTGAGACAGTTTTTTCCTAATATCCAATCTAAACCTCTCTTGCTGCAACTTGAGGCCATTGCTCCTTGTTCTGTCATCTGCCACCACTGAGAACAGTCCAGTTCCATCCTCTTTGTAACCCCCGCTTCAGGTAGTTAAAGGCTGCTCTCAGTCTTCTCTTCTGCAGTGCCCTCAGCCTCTCCTCAGAAGTCATGTGCCCCAGCTCCCTAACCATTTCCGTTGCCCTCCACTGGACTTTCTCCAACTTGTCCACATCCTTTCTATAGTGGGGGGCCCAAGACTGGACACAGTACTTCAGATGTGGCCTCACCAGTGCAAAATAGAGGGGAATAATTACTTCTGGCTATGCTCCTACTAATGCAGCCCAGTATACTTCTAGCCTTCTTGGCAACAAGGGTACATTGTGGGCTCATATTCAGCTTATTGTCCACTGTAACCCCCAGGTCCTTTTCTGCAGAGCTGCTGCCCAACCAGTCAGCCCCCAGCCTGTCCTGGTGCATGGGATTGTTCCGTCCTAAGTGTAGGACTTTGCACATGTCCTTGTTGAACCTCATGAGATTTCTTATGTGCATTTTGAGCACAAGGCATTTACTGCGTATTAATTGGTCAGATTTTTTTAGGGTCCTCTGAGCCCAAAAAATCCTGTCTGCATCCCATCTGCATCAGATGGTTATTGAAGCTGAAGCTGTAAACTAGATGGACATGAACTCAAGAAAAGAGCAATATATTGTCCCCTTGTTAAAGCTACTTGCTTTGGCATTTTCAATAAAATAACTTTATAAATGATACATTTATTGATATGTACTATCAATTATTGTTTCTTTAGAAGCCTTTAGAAACACTTTTAAGAAGCACTGTGCATTTCCATGTTGTGCTAATGTATATGCAGGATAGTTACTGGACAAGTTGGATGAAAACGAAAAGGTTTTTAGGGAACATCTACTTTTGTATTGAATAGCAAGAATGTTAATCACCTGTGTCGTACTCTAATGTTCTTGTCATGCAATTGTAATATAAAGTTAGATGGTGTCTAGAATGTGTATTCATCTTGGATAATTATTTTGCATTTATTTGGCCTATACATGCATTTTAGGACAGTGGAAATACAGTACTTTCAACTTGTTTACAGATTTAATTTCTATATAAAAAGTATAAGCAAATCTTTCTATTACAAAACTCAGAAGAGGATAAAACTTTAAGGTAATGAGCAAGTTGCAAGTGTAGTTGAGGCAAATGTACTATATTTTTAAATAGTGGAGTCAAACTGATTTATCCAGAATACTTGCCATTTTAAAGGGGCTGATACAATCTTCATCAATCTGATTTTGTTTTTTCATTTTAGAGGAAATAGTATAAGGTTCTATCTATTTTTGTATCTTGAAGACCGCTGGTGATCATTAATTTTATTAAATAGAAACACTGTTAAACACTAATTGAGTTTGTCTACCTACTCTAGTGCTGCTAAAAACATGGAAAAAATTCATTGACGCAACCTGGAATAAATTGCAAATCTGTAGGTAACACAGAGTCAAACTTTAGAACATCTGAAAATAAGCTGCGGAAGCATGCTGAGTTACCAAGCTGTGAAAAAGGGAGATTAGTTTTCTGGAATTGTTCAGCAACGTCATGAGTCAGATCAAATCATGTTTGCTTTCTGGAAGGCAAGAGCATTTTTGTGGATGAATTGAAATAGCTCAGTCTAAAAATAGTAATCTAGCAAGTGTCCACGCACAATGTAACACTCATGTTTCTTTGAATTCTATTGCATTCTTCTGGATTTATTTCACCATCATACCTTGATTGAAAAATGTTGATGTACCAGTACATTATTTTTGGAAACTGGTTTACATTGCCAATTTTATGTGATGGAACTTAACATGTTGTGATTTTCTTCTATTTTGATTATTGAAGACATAATCTATCAGAAGTGTATACGTTTAGGTTTGTTTCTAACTGGAGTTGGCCACAAACTTCAACCTAGCTTAAATATAAAAGAAGAAAGGGGCAACAGCCTGATAATGTCACACTCTGTATTTCTTTGCTTATATTCCTTAGATGTCTAAAAGCTCAGAAATGTTAGGCACTGACAGCTGAGGTGGGACACAATTTTCTGGGCAGCTTATGAATGTATTAATTTTAAGACAAGCAAGGAATTTTGTGAGTGATAATTTTATTGGAGCAGCTGCATAGGATTGACATAAAAGCTTGCTGTTAAGAATTTTTCAGGAGTTGTATAAGAAAACACAAGTGGTATCTCTCCTCTGCTTCCCCAGCCCTCTTCTCCCCTTCATATCTAGAGAGATGTGATTAAACCTGTTAACTTATTTTTCACAGAAAATCATTCTGCCCCTCCAGATGTTACCACTTACACCTCAGAGCACTCAATACAAGTAGAAAGGCCACAAGGATCCACAGCACGGGTGGCACCAAAGTATGGCAATGCTGAACTTATGGAAACTGGTGATGGTATGTCACAAATAATTGTTTTTCTCTTATATATTGTGACTTCCCCCTCTTGAGTGGTCTATTGTACACACTTGCTCCTTGTTTTCTTCGGCCACACAGCAGGTAAAGTATTTTTATAAGTCCTAAAATCAACTGGTACATGTGAAATGAAGATAGAGAAATGATTCTTTATCAGTAGAGCTGATTCCTTTAGAAATTGCTTGCAAACTTCAGCAAAATAAAATTGAAAATTCCTCTGGAGTATGGACAGATGAAAAAAATCATACTAAATTGAATGGATGAATGAAACAAGGCTAGGCAACTATGGTTTAGCTCCTGCTTGCTGCAGGTAGGAGTGGACACAAGAAACAAATACTGTGAATCGGCACAAGAAGTGCCTGGACACACATCTGTAAGTCTGTCTATACCCTAGAATTGATTTTACTATGCATGCAGAAGAAAAGCTACTCCATTTTCAAATGGCCTAATATAGGCTATACCAAGAGGGTGCATCTTAAAGTTACTTTTGTGCAAAAAATTTGTTTTGAGTAGTGTTTTGAAAAACAGTTATTTATAAAACCTTCCTTATTGCTCCATTTTCTAAAATGGATTAAACATGATTCTGGCAAAGGTGGGGGTTTTGAAACCAAGTGTATTATGTACATGCTTAACAGCTTCAACTGAAAAGCACAATTCGTATTATATGGTAAAAATATTGGAGCCAGCCCTTGAGAAGGGGCAGGAAGGTGACCCATTTGCAATATTATGGGAGGCTAGATCAGGAGCCACCTATGTTGCAGAGGTGAGATGCTCGGTCTAGAACAAGAAAAGGGGAAGGTACTTTTTGGGATCATATTATACAGGTGCCCAGTGGCCTTTACCTGGAACTGTATTTTGCTGTTAATTTTGCAGTTAAGCACCTTTACCTATTGGCCAATGAAATTCACTGTGAGGATCACAGTGTTAGTTAAAATGAAGTAGCATGAGAAGAGCATGGGCCAGTTCAATCTAAAATAAATAGGAAGTTGAAAAACATCTGTGGCCTGGTTTTCTTGCTGACTGGATCCTTAGTTACAGCTGCAGTGAGGTGAAAGCTGTTTAATTAAGCAGTGTTGATCTGGCCAGTAGATGAGAGAGCAGCCCGTGGCTTGAGTTCTGTTTTTCTGCTAGCCATCACCAAAGCCATCTAGAAGATTTCTGAAGTTTGTTTCTAGGAAACATGTACTTACTGTGCTTCTTTTTCCAAATCTGCATGTTATTTCCCTCTAACTTAAAATAAATTCACTCTGACATTGTGTATGTGCTTTGTTTTTTTTAAAAATTTAAAGCAGACTTTGCTTGTTCCTTTTGATGCATGAATCTGTATGTCTTCATGTTGAATACTTTAATGCTGAGTCAATATATAGCATGAAACTGTAGTTGTGGTGGCATTGCAGAATGGCTAGAAATAGACATCACCAAGTGGATCAGCTCTGATGGGATGTGTCCCAACACAGCTGATCCACTTGATTGGGTGAAATGCATGTTGTGGGACAATGGGTGATGTAGTTCCCTCTTAAAGAGACATCCCTAGGGAGATTCCCCAGGGCACGTCTGTAAGCTGGGAAAGCCAGGCGGGCAGCCCTGGGTCTTGAGAGGTGCTATCTTGAATGGGAATTCCTGGGCATGCAGGATTGGGACCTTCAAGCCTTAGGAGCACCTGCCTGGGGCAACTAAAGAGCATGGACAGCTCGGGGTTGCCCTTGCTCTTGTACCTTAAAGCAAACAGATGTCCACCGCTAAATAGTGGCAGAAATTGTTACCACCTATGTCATGGCACCGAATTTTAGGCATTTGTGATGCAATATAGGGCATGGATGCCTGTTTGCTTGGCCTTTGTGCCACCATAAAAATTGTTATGGTGGCACAAGGGCAATGTCTGTTTCCACTCTTGTAGTCTTTTTTTCTTATCCCCCTCCCCTTTACTATGTGGTGGCATGCAGCTTAGCAGCCTACTGATATCTCCATTGATCCCTGTTCTGCAGGAGTACCAGTGAGCAGCAGAGTGTCAGCAAAGATTCAACAGCTGGTCAATACCCTAAAACGGCCTAAACGACCGCCATTACGAGAGTTCTTTGTAGATGACTTTGAGGAATTGTTAGAAGGTAAAATGACTGTTTTTCAAAAGGTTTGGGAACCTCTTTCTCGCACACTGTAAAATGTTTCTTCATTTGTCTTCCACCATTTTGCTTTGTAAAAGTGAAGTAAACCCTTGGTGGTGGTGACCACAGATTCTGCTTATGATGAACTTGAAAATAGTGTAGTGAAATCAAAGATCCACATTGTTTGCCCTGCATGTAGAGCAGAGTGGTTAGAGTTCACTCTTGCTTTGTGTATCAGGAAAGGTGGAGGAAAAGCCTATGCCCTAAAAACGCTTACTGTGTATAACATCATTTCCTTTCATACAGCTGGATCAATGTGAAAGACCCAGTTATGAAGGAAGTAGAGTAAGACTGGAAGAATATATTAAATATTGGTCAATAAAGTACTGAAAATACTAGCTAGAAGTCAATGAATATATAGTTTTATTTAAAGATTTACAGCTGCTGACTATATGCTTTGAATATAAAGATTTGCAAGTTACATTGATTTAATAAAAATTATAGCAAAACATTGTAATAGAGTGTAACTTTAATTGGTGTATTTTTGATGAGTTATTTCCATTTTCTAATAATTCTGTGGTTCACTTTATTACTACATTTTCTCAAAGAAAAAACAAGTTTTCTATCTTGCATCTTTACCTTGTTGATTTTTCAATAGATACAGTTTTTGTCTTTCTCGAAGAGTAACTTTGCATAAAGTAGCATGAATAAGTAATTCCTTTTTCTATTATTAGTATAGTAAGTGTAAAGCTAAGCACATGCATTCCTGAGATATTTATTAATTGCTGAAGGAAGGAAAGTTAAGAGGAAATTATCTTACTATACTTCTCCATAAGTTATTCACATAGGTGCAGTGCTGATATACAAAATTGACCATTGTGTCCTTCATACCTTTTAACATTTTATTGTGTTCAAATTATTTTACAAAAGTAAGGTATTTTCTTGGTTCTGCAGTTATAAACAACAGTAGAGAATTTATTTGGTAACTCTATATCTTTTCATAATCATAAGTTCAACAGCCAGATCCAAATCAACCAAAGCCAGAGGGAGCTCAGATGTTGGCTATGCGTGGGGAACAATTGGGTGTAGTTACAAATTGGCCGCCCTCTCTAGAAGCAGCATTGCAGCGATGGGGGACCATTTCGCCAAAAGCTCCTTGCCTAACCACTATGGACACAAATGGGAAACCACTGTACATTCTCACTTACGGTGAGTAACCTGTTAAACTTCTTTAGCGGGAGGTTATGATGTTAAAAACTAATATTATTTCTGTTGCATTTTTGGCTGCAGCAAAATATTTGGGCTGCTGTTGGTCTTGAGTGCTTATTGTGTGGGAAGGACAACTTTCTGAATATATGAAAGACTACAGTGTAACCTGTTTGTGGGAGGGGGGAAACTGAGTTGATGCCAACAAGGACTGTTAGATTATAAAATAAACCCACATTTATATGGATGTGCTTATGTTCTCGAGTTGTAAGTCACAAGTAAATACACTATCCTTACATATTGTACTAGATTTTACAGAAAGAAGACAATCAGGTCTGTTTGGTAGATCAACTCTACCAACTTCCTCAAAAACACAATATAAGAATGCATCTTTCTAATTGGAATTAACTGAAATGTTAGTAATGATAATCTGAATGACTCTTCCTAGCATGCCTCTGAATATGAGCTTGCATGTCATGATGTAGACTTCCAGCATCTATTGCACTGTGAACTGTGGTAATTATAACTGGAGATATAACTGCCAATCTGTTGCAATATCAAAAAGCCAAAAAATGTTTCACGTAAGGACATCTCTTCAACAGTTCCCATTTTAGTTTCTAATTATGGAACGTTCTGGTGATACACAGAGCAATGGTTGCAGGTGCTTTATACTTTAAAACACACAAAAAATAATCTACATTTTGTTGTGTTTCATTTAATATGGAATAAACCAGAAGTTTAGCATTCCTGGTCTCTAGCTCCCTAGCTTGGCAAGCTGTTGAACATGCTTGCCGTAAATAAGGAGAAAGGCTGGTAGAAGTATAAGAACCTTTAGGAATTAAAGTTCAGATGCTGTCTGTGCCAATCCAGCTGAAAGATGAGCCTGCCTACACTGAACACCCATATAAAGAGAACAAAAATAACTGAGCTTGAGAGGCAAACCTATGATTCACTGCTGCTCCAGATCTTCTTTGAGTAGGTTTATTTGCAACTGAGAAAAATATCCAAAAATATGCGGAATAAAATAGAACCCTGTTGTTTTCAACTGAAAGCACCTTCATACCCAGTTTAATTTACTCATTGTGAACCCAGCTATTGCTGGATGTGGGCACTGCCCCCCACCCCCTTCCCCCTGCACTCTACTGGGCAAGCGACTGCACTCGCAGACCAGTGGAATTGGACCAGGAAGCAGCCCATTGACTGGGTGCCCTGGAGAAAACCGAAGCAAAAGTCCCAGATTGGCCTGGACCTTCCCACACATGCCTGGCTCCTGACTCAGAAGCTGGGCACGTGCAGCCAGGTTACCACCAATTCAGGACTTTTGCTTTAATTCTCTCCAATTGCTGGGATACCAGGACACCCTCTGAAATCTAGGACTGTCCTAGCCAATCCAGGACATACGGTCACCACACCCAAGAGGTCTAAGCAAACAGGTATTTTTATATGAAAAAGAGGAGGAGGAGGAGAGAGCAGGGCATTTTACTAAATAAATTAACCTGCTTCTTTAATCAGTCCCCAGTACTGCAATGCACCAAAGTTCTTTTGCAATTATTTCTATTTTAGGGTAAGATTATTTCAAAGAAATTTTCCTAAACCTCCCAAAATTCATTTCCTGTACTTCTGAATGGCAGCATGACATTGTCTACAAAATTCTTAGGCCTTCTCTGCCATTCAGTTCCAGGAAATAGTCTTGGATTTTTAAACAGGCACGTAGTTAGAATCAAGTAAGTTTCATGCACCATTGTGCTATATCAATTCAGCCATGTAGGGTTGACCATGGTTTGGTGAAGACACTCCAGTATTTCATAGGCTGGTCCCAGCAAGCTCATTAAAATCCCAGGATGGAGTTCAGCAGGGAGGCAGAGCAGCATGGTGCACCAGGCAGGTAGGCAGGCAGGATGTGCCACTTGTGGGCAGGGTGGTACCTGCTTCAGTCGCCTCACCTGGCTCCTGCCTTGCCCTCACCACTTCCCTAGGTGACTATTCCACAAACGCTCGTTCTCCTTACATTTAAGCCCTTAACCTAAATTTTCTTTTTACCTATTTAATCTCGTAGTTCTTACCTGCTTGGGGCATCCTACAGAATTGATGCTTCTTTGGTTAATTAAGCTTTCAGATGCTATTAGACTTTAGTCTTTCCCTGTCCTCACTCAGTCCTTGTTTTTTTTTGTTTAGGCATGTACACATCTAGGCTATTCTCAAGAATCACCCCCTGCAAAACCTTACATTTGAAGTGTGTTTTGTTTTAATTGCCTCCTTTATTTTCAGTTTAGTAACGAGGTGCCTAGAATGTAGCATTGTGTTGTAGTCACCAGTTGCTATCCCCAATCTTACCCAGTCCTATCACTCCCCTACTACCTCCAAAAACACATCTGTTTCACAGTACTTAACATTGTTACAGTATATTTTATTTTAGATGTTCAGGGGGTACAGCTTTAGCACTGTGCTACTATGGTGACAAAGTTACCTTCAGAATAATGGTATAATTAACGTGGTTTAAGTGGTAGCTGCTGTAGATAAGGATTCACCCATACTAAACTTATCAGCTCCATATTATAAAAATGTGTTTTTTCATAGATATCCTGAAATTAGCTTTGCTCACCCCTTGCACCTTGTATTTCAATGCAATCTCTCATAAAACTTGTAATCCACTTGAGCCTTTAGGTCTCATTACTGCTTTCAATACTGTGTCTTCCACTGAATGTTCAGGGTGTTTCCCCCCTTGATGTACCCTTGAATACTAGTTTGCATTTTTTTTAAACGTTAATCTCTTGTGTCCTGCCCATATTGCTAATGTAATTTGTATCATTTCTCAGTTCTCATAGTTTTTCACACCTCCCAATTTAATAATTTGTATTTAATATGCTGCTTGCCCTTTTTTCCAAACTGTTGAAAACTTAATCCCTGTGTATTAAATGGAAATGCTTTGTATATTTTAAATGACCTTGTGCCTCAAGGCTCATAGATGGAAAAAGCATCTCTTAGATAAAAATTTTTCACAGTCCCACTTTTGGCATGAACGAAGCCACAAAATTTATCCAAATGGTGGACTCTGGAATGTGAGAGGGGGAGAAGGATCTGAGGGAGCCTGGACTCCAACCGAAAACCTAAGATCAATTTTAGGCCCAGGGAATAGTTGCTTCCTCATACAAAATTTGGTGAGGAATCACAGTCCAGATTCAGTATGTTCAGAATGAATACTGATGTGCCTAATACAGGTGTGTTCATATAGAAGAAAAACAGCCTAGTAGCACATTATGTATACCGTATAATATGTATGCTTTTGAAGCCTGTTTTCTTACCTGTAAAATCAAAATTGCAATGAAGAAAAGGAAAAATGGCTTAATGAAAAATGTACAGAGAGAGAAAAGCAAGAGGATAAACATATTACATCAATGTATAGGACTATCAAAGACATCACAGGCAAAGGAGGATGTACTGCTAGGGGATGTATAAAAGCCAAGAGTGGTGATGTGATTATGGAATGAGAACAAATATTGAAAAGATGGACAGAGTATATTGAAGAGTTATTCCATGACAGTAAAAAAGAAAACCCATCTATTAAGAAGAACATGGCCATTTTGAAAAATCTTCAGTCAGGAGTATGAACAGTTATCAACCGAATGAAAAACAATAAAGCTACAGGACCAGATGGTATTGCAATAGAACAAATAACATGGTTGGAAGAGTTTGTTAGAGAAAAGTTAACAACTGTTATCAATGAGTTTTATGAAAGTGGAGAAATACCTGAGGACATCAGTAAATTGATCTTTATTGCACTCCCCAAAAAACCTGGAGGCATTGAATGTGAACTCCATCGAACCATTAGTTTAATAAACCATGTAACAAAGATCCTATTAAAGGTGCTGCTGATGAGAGGTAGAAGTAGAATAAGACGGGAGATTGCAAAAAGTTCAGTGTGGCTTTGCTGAAGATGGAGGGATGAGAAATGATATCTCCATGGTGCAAATGCTTTTGGAAGGAGCAATAGAAATGAGGAAAACCCTTTTCTTGTGTTTTATTGATCATACAAAAAGCTTTTAATATAGTCAAGCATGAAAATTAAAATGCTGGAAGAACTGGATATTGATGGTAAGGACTTGAAAATTTTAAGAAACTCTATTGGGACCAAACTGCAGCAGTGAAGATAGAAAATGAACTAAGTGATTTCATCCAGATTGAGAGGTGTGAGGCAAGGTTGTGTTTTTTCACCTGAATTGTTCAACATGTGCAGTGAGAAAATACTGAGGGAGATTGAGGATTTACCAGGGCTGATCATTGGCAGACAGAATTTGAACAACTTGTGTTATGCTGATGACAGTCTTAATAGCTGATTCAGAAGAGAAGCTGCAAGAAATTTTAGATAAAATTGTTAGTAAAAGTGAGAAGAAGGGTCTCTAAGTATCAACGGTAGAAAAACAGAATGTATGGTAATTACAAAGAAGAAGATCATTCCTGCATGCAACATCAAAGCGGAAATGGAACAGATAAAGCAGGTCAATAAATTTAACTACTTGGGAAGCTGGATAACATTAGATGATAAATGTGACCATGAAATAAAATGGAAACTAGGGCTGGCGATAGACGAATATCTGAAGATGAAAAAGATATTAACAAATAGTAAAATTTGTATGAGGAAGAAGTTCAGAGTTTTGGATTGCTATGTTATATCAGTTGTCATGCATGCATACGAATGCCAGACAATATTGCCAAGTATGGAAAAGAGAATGTGGTTCTTACAGCACATCTTGAATGTATGTTGGACAAGTCACACTTTGAATGAAAATATTTTGTTAAGAGCATGGTGCAGGAGGAAGCTGCTGATTTAATATCAGAAAGAGATAGTCAGAGTTTTTTGGACACATTATGAGGAAAGAGGAAATTGAAAGTCTGGTTGTAACTGGGAGGATTGAAGGAAAGGGAGATCGTGGAAGACAGAGGTTGACTTATGTCAAGAGTCTATCTAAATGGATGAATGTATTCACACTGCAAATTCTGTATGC